CTTGGATGAAACTGATTATCTGGACCCATTTCAGTCCGGCTTCAGACCCGGGTACGGCACTGAATCTGCCTTGGTCTCCCTGTACGATGACCTGTGCAGGGAGAGAGACAGGGGGAGTGCATCCCTGTTAGTTCTCCTGGAACTCTCAGCGGCTTTCGATACCATTGACCATGGTATCCTTCTGAATAGGCTAGAGGGATTGGGAGTTGGAGGCACTGCGTGGCGGTGGTTCCGCTCCTATCTCAATGGCTAATTTCAGAAGGTGGTGCTGGGGGACTATGGCTCTGCGCCATGGCAGTTATGCCATGGAGTTCTGCAGGGGTCCATTTTGTCCCCTTTGCTATTTAACACCTACATGAAACCGCTGGGAGAGGTCATCAGGAGGTGTGGGCTGCAGAATCATCAATACGCTAATGATGCCCAGCTCTACCTCTCATTTTCCACCAATCCAGGTGAGGCAGTGGCTGTACTGAACCGGTGCCTGGCTGAGGTAATGGGCTGGATGAGGGCCAATAAACTGAAGCTCAATCCAGACAAGATGGAGGCCCTGTTGGTGGGTGGCTCGGGCCTCAGGATGGGGGACTTGGGCCTTGTCCTAAATGGGGTTGCACTCCCTCTGAGGGACAGGGTTCGCAGCTTAGGAGTGCTCCTCGAACCTGAGCTGTCTCTAGAAGCTCAGGTGATGGCGGTGGCGAGGAGCGCCTTCCTTCAGCTTCGGCTGATAAATCAGCTGCGTCCCTTCCTGGAGAACGACTGCCTGGCGACAGTGACACACGCGCTGGTAATTTCCCAATTAGATTTCTGTAACGCGCTCTACGTGGGGCTACCCTTGAAGATGGTCCGGATACTTCAATTGGTGCAGAATAGAGCTGCCAGGTTCCTGACAGGGACTGGGCGTTGTTCTCATATAACCCCAGTTCTCCGTCAGCTCCACTGGCTCCCGATTGCAGTCCAGGCCCAATTCAAGGTGTTGGTTATGACCTATAAAGCCCTAAACAGCTTGGGACCTGGATATCTAAAGGAACGCTTGCACCCATATATGCCCTCCCGCCCCTTGAGATCAGCAACAGATGCCCTTCTCCGGGAACCCTCTGTGAATGATATTAGGAGGGTGAGCACCCGGAGGAGGGCTTTCTCTGTGGTGGCGCCCCATCTATGGAATGCGCTCCCCAAAGAGGTCCGCCTGGCGCTGTCATTATTTGTTTTTCGGCGCCAGGCTAAGACCTTTTTATTTAAAACTTATTTTAATTGCTAAATTATTGCATTAATTAGGATTTTAAAATTAGCCAAGAATGCACCGGGGGTTTTAAATGTTTTTTTTTCTTTTAAATTGTTATATTATTTTTATTTCTGTATGTTTTATGTATTTTTTGTAAGCCGCCCCGAGGCTTTGTTGTGATGGGGGCGGCATAGAAATGTTTTAAATAAACAAACAAATACATAATTGTATTTATTTATTTATTTAAAATATTTATCTGTCGTCCTATTCGCAAAAAAGCCTCAGGACGGTTTTTGCTCATTTCCAAACAATGGGTGGGTTCTCACACACCACAAGAAGCCATGGTGAAACCTCACAGTTGTGTCTGTGCCGTGCTGTCCAGATCCAGGTCCGGCATTCTGAGGTTTCCATGCTGCACCATAGCTTCTCCAGTCATCGGGACCCAAGAGCCCCCTTTACCATTATCGGTATGGAAATACTATGGAGTCTTCTTGCAAGAGAGGCTGTGGAAGTAGCCAGTTCCAGCCTTCAATCTCCACTGCCCTCAGCAACCCAGCAACACATGTGTCATTACTCGCTTTATTCCCATTGGCTGAACAATGTGTCCATTACCTTGTTAACGTTTGGAAATAGGAAGACAGTGAGAGAACACATGGAGATGAGGGGAGAAATCATGGCAACTGTTTGCTTTTATTGAATGAAAGGAACATCTGCGATGTGCCACAGATGTGCAGGTGCACTCAGAAGGGGGAAGGGGGAACCCACCTCAGGACCACATTGGACCTGCTGCCAGAGGGTGCTGCCATCCATAGGCAAACATAGGAAAATGACAGGGGTTTCACTTGCAGGAAGCATGACAAGCTTGGGAGGCCAGAGCAGGGAGTGTGGAAACTGTACCACCTGAGTAAGCACATGATCATCTGACCAGTCAGTTCAGGCAAGAATTGGCACACAATAGAAACTGTGCGGATTTTTTTGCTGTTCTGTGTGAGCCCAGCCACTGTGTGTCCGTGAAGTTATATAAACAGAATTGCAATCTTCAGTTGTGGATTAATTGCACAACTGTGCGACTGTGGATTGGTTACAAAGGTGCACCAGATTTAGAAACACAGAAACAGAAGGGTCCTCCCAGGCTATCTAGTCTGACCTCTGGCACCAGCCGGCTCCGCTCACGACATGCCCACCATGTGGACGTCCAGCCTATCCTTGAACACCCACACCGATGGGGCCTCAGCGACCTCTCATGGAAGCCCATTCCACACCCTTGGGGTCCTGACTGTCAGGAAGTGCTTCCTGGCATCCAAATGGAACCTTGGCTCCCTGAGCTTTGCTCCGTTGCAGCGCGTCCTGCCTTCCTCTGCAGGGGAGAGCAGGTCTCTACCCACCTCCGTGTGACACCCCCTCACATACCTGTATGCCTCCAACATATCCCCTCTGAGTCTCCTCCAGGCTGAAGAAACCCAGTTCCCTCAGTCTCTTAAACAGTTGAAACTGTTGATTCCTTTGAATGGAAGCCCTTACCAAATCCATGGGGAGAAATGACTGCTCAGGAGAGCTATCCTTCTTCTCCCCACGTGAAGGAATACCTCTTCGGCCTGCTATAAGAGATGAACACATAATCTAAAAAATGAAGAATTATGCTTTTCTCCATATGAATTATCTTGTTCATAGGAAAGTGTGTGCTCATGCAAGCTGTTCATTCATCAGTTAAAATTAATTGGCCAGGATATCTTTAGTTGATTGAGAAAACTAGATTAAGAGTATGGTTGTAAAACATGTTGCTGCACAAGTAAAAATGGGTTGAGAGGATTTATATTTAAATCTGCCCCAAAATAATGCTAAATACATTACTTATAATTAAGGTCAGGCAGGTAAAATGACCTCCCTCAGATGCTAGAACAATGCCTGTGGGAGGGCCTGTTAAAGAACAGAAAACTGTCCTTTATTTCATTTATGCTTACACTTTTATCACCAGAGATGCAATGGAATTTTCACTTCAGACATTATAATGTCTAAGCCATCTCTGTTCAGAACAGCTTGATTATCTCTTTTTCAGGATGGACAGATCTATCAGTTTGGGTTTCTCAAAAAAATTAATCAAACAAACTTTATTGTGCAGTTACAGACCTGACAAGATAACTTTTTTAAAAGTTTGCCTGAAAATTCATAAACATTTTTGTGCACATGTATTAATATATGCATTATGTCTGTACTGTTAGCTAATATACACATTTTGCAAGCAATTTTCCGAATATTTTTGTGTGCATTTTTAATCTGGAAACACCACTGCTACATTCAGAGAAGTGTGAACTTCGAAGAATTACTACATTTCAGGTGGCAAAATAGTTAGACAGTGTGAAATTAAGTACATTAACATGCAGATGTAAATTGAATTAACTTCTCCCTCACCCTGTCTCTCTGCTTCTCCAGGTTTTGGGATGTCCACCCCTGCGACAGTAGCCGGCAAAGTTTTCCTGATTGTTTACGGCCTCTTCGGGTGTGCAGGGACCATCCTCTTCTTCAACCTTTTCCTGGAGCGTATCATCTCCCTTCTGGCTTTGGTCATGAAGGCTTGCCATGAGAGGCAGCTGCGAAGAAGCGGCCTTCTACCTCCAACGTGCCGAAGGGGCTCAGCCATGTCCGACGTTGACAGCCTGGTTGGGTGGAAACCATCGGTCTATCACGTGATGCTAATTCTGGGAATCTTTGCCATTACTCTTTCTTGCTGTGCCTCAGCCATGTACACAGCTGTGGAAGGGTGGAATTACATTGACTCCTTGTACTACTGTTTTGTCACCTTTAGCACCATCGGATTTGGCGATCTGGTGAGCAGTCAGAATGCCGTCTACCAAAATCAGGGATTATACAGATTTGGGAACTTCATGTTTATATTAATGGGGGTATGCTGCATATACTCTCTTTTTAATGTCATCTCCATTGTAATCAAGCAGGTTTTAAACTGGATGCTAAGAAAGTTCCAATGCAGATGTTGCCCAGATTGCAATAAGCCAACTGCTCGCCTCGGGCGACGCAATGCCATCACGCCAGGATCTCGCTTCCGCCGGCACAACTTCTCTGCAGAAACAGAAGGACAGTATGATAGTGATACAGACGGGAGAAGGCTCTCGGGTGAAATGATCTCCATGAGGGACCTCACTGCCTCCAACAAAGTCTCACTGGCCCTTCTGCAGAAACAGTTGTCTGAGACAGCCAATGGCTACCCGCGGAACGCCTGCATCAACACAAGGCAAAATGGCTTTTCAGGAGGAGTTGGTGCTCTAGCCATCATGAACAACAGACTGGCAGAGACAAGTGCTTCTAGGTAGACCTTTTGAAACTATCTTCCATAAAATGAAGACGTTTTCTTATTTTTTATCTAATAAAAAGATATTTTAAAAATCATGACTTTGAACTCAAAGGTACATTTCTGGAAAGGTTAACCTGCTGTTCTAAAAAAAAGTTGATTGTTTAAGTGAGGTTTTTAAAAACATTTCTAAGGGATGCAATAGTATTTATCTCCTTAAGCTTTTGATTCTTTCACAGCTGGAATGGCAACATGAATTGGTTTAGCGCACTAGTATGAGCCACTGGTCACTTCTATGGAACAATCCTGATGAAAGGGTAATTCTGTCCTTACTGATACAGTTGGACACGAATGATGAAGGCAGCAAGTGCCTAAGATCTCACCATGCACACGCATGGCTACCAACTGGCCAGCCTCCATCTGAGTGGAAGCAGCTGAAATCAAAGAAAGATGGCTAGCCAATCAGCAACCACTTGACTGCATAGTCATGCAGGCAGACGGTACCTCAGTGAGCACTATGCAAGTAAGTGGTTGCTGATTGGCTAGCCACCCTCTTTTAAGGAGCTCCATGCTTCCACTATAATGTAACTGGTACCAGCAAGGCTAGGAATCCCCATTCTTGCCTAATCAGTCCAGAACTGCATCTAGGAACTTGCTAGTTAATTGCTTCAGTGGCTAACACTGAATAATGTAATAAAGATTAGAGACAATGGGGTTACATTGTTGAGCAAAAGAAAGGCAATTTGATATTTACATAACAGTATGATAACAAAAAGCTTTGGAACACCCATCACTAGAAATGAAATGCAACAATAATTCAAAGGATTTTAGATCTACCTTCCTTTTGTAAAGAGCTAATGACCCTCCACCTTTCCTCCCACCTCCTCAGTATGCAGACGCAAATGAGCAGGAAGATGCATCAAGTGTTCACCCAGGCTACTGTTCACCTACTTTCCATCTTAACTTTTGAAAGATGCAGTTGCCATTCTAAAGACATATCCAATTTTGGGGTGGGGGGAATCCATGAAAAGGACATCTCGTAATGATTGTGCTACATTTCTTAGTTATGTGTTTTAATTTTGCTGAATTTCTAATTGCTAAAATGAAGATCTTGTGCAATCATTCTGCACAGGAGGCAGATGATTCTCGGCCCTACTTTATTTTATATATATATAATTAAAATTTTTAAACTAACACTAAAAAAAAAAATCAAACATCACAAACATTGGATTCACTGGGTCAACCTCCTACTACATATTTTTTTAACATTCTAATATCAAATTCAAATTAATTTATCATAGTTTGAAAAACATCTCTAAATTTATGCCAAGTCCCATTTCTCCAGCCAATTATAAAAAGAGTCCCAGGTTTGATAGAAATCAGTATCCTCTTTCTCCTTCAATGATAAAGTCAGTCTATCCATTTCTGCACAGTCCAAGATCTTTCTTACAATCAATCCATCGGTGGGCAGCTCCTCACTTTTCCAATATTGAGCAAATGCAATCCTCGCCGCTGTAATTAGATGCAACATCAAATAGATTTCCTGTCTGTTAACATCTTCCGGTATAATGCCTAACAAGAAAACTGCGGGTTTAAAAGCAAAGGGTTTTTGTAATATTTCCTCCATCCATCTATGTATTTTAATCAAGTACTTTTTTGCATTATCACAAGTCCACCACATATGATAAAAAGTACCCACTTTATGTTTACATTTCCAACATCTATTTGACATATTTGGAAACATCTTAGCTAGTTGACTTGGTGACAAATACCATCTATAGAACATTTTATATATGTTTTCTTTATACGAAGTTGCTAATGTTACTTTAATGTTTCTTTCCCATAGTTTTTGCCACTTTTCTAGTTCAACATTAAATCCAAAGTTTTGTGCCCACGTTATCATAGTTTCCTTAACCTGTTCCCCTTCCATTTTCCTGTCAAGTAAAAAATCATATAGTCTTTTAATAATTTTCTCATCTGCTTTAAGCATCACTTGATCAAATTCTGCTAGGACTTTTTAGAACCCCCATGTTTTACGATCCTTGGCATACCTTGATTGCATCTGCACCTTATACCACCAGGAAATATTAAGTCCCTGTTCTTGTTCGGCCCTACTTTATTGAGGAAATCACAGCTGAAATAGTCAATAGACCATTGCTCATAGTCACAGAGTAATTGCATAGCAGGAGTAGCACTGGAACTCAGGAAACCCAGATGCAAGTTTCAGTCTAAACTCAATAGACCTCACTCTATCTGGCACACACGGGTCAAATTCAAGTAGGACTGAGCCAAATTACATGTCCAGTTTATGGTTTTTCAGTAGCAGCTACAGAGCATTCGTAGTTTTCCATTATTTCTCAATACTTATTCATAAGTATATTGTTTCAGTGTTGTTCTACTTAGTGCCCCTTTTGCGTCATCTCTGCCTTCATGGTCCTTGGCTTTACCTGCCCTCCCTTTCCTTGCCTCTGCCAGCCAACAATCTCATAGCCCTGCATCAAGACATTGTGGATCACATAAAACCAAATTGCATGAGTCACGCAGGACTCTCTCATCAGGGCCAGTGCAGGCCAGTGAGGCCGAGGATAGTGAAGACAAAGAAAAAGAAGTGGAAGCACCAAGAAGGCAAGGCGGTAATGAGAAGACAGAGATACCGAAAAGTAGTGAAGCAGATCGTCTTTCTAATAGTTACTTTGACTGCTTGGAATAGGCTAACTTTAAGGCAAGCACTGGAAAGAGCAAACATTAAAGACTTCATTTCCTTCAGTGTCTCCAGTGTCAGGTGCTCACCTGATCCCCAGATGAGGTCTTCAGTCTGCACAGATTGCCACTGGCTGGGGAGGCTAGTCCTGTGTTGTGCTTCCACAGTTTCATGCTGAAGTGAGCTCAAAGAAGCAATTATCTCCGTGATAATGACAGATTTCCTTAGCACAGGAATTAAGATCCTCAGGCCATCTACCCACAGGGTGTTCTCTTCCAGATATTTTGGACTGCAGTTCACATCATCCAAGGCCAGCATATGAATAATGGGACTTGTAGACAGCCCAATACATCTGGAGAGTGCCAACTGGGGGAAGACCGGTTCTGCTCTGACTGTAATTGCCTCCCCAGTCCTCAGGCACAGGTCTCTGCAAGCCATGGGACCTGGATCCCTTTTTAAGCAGTAAATGCCAGCGGGTGAACCTTAGGCTTCTATATTCCAAGTCTACCACGGAAGTAGACACACCCCATGATGTTTTGCTGCTTCCTTTCAAAAATTGGACATGTGCATAAAGCTGCATTTGCTCAAAAAAGGAAAAAGAAGACAAAGATGAAGATGAAGAAGAGCAAGAGCAAGAGCTAAGGAAGGGTAACTATGTGGAGCTGTTCAAATGTTAAGCAAATTTACATAGAACCGCAGGAGCCACTATGATTCTACTGATCCTGGGGGCAGGAAAGGACTTGTGTAGATCCATCCCCTGAATATAGGAAACCCTAGGCAAAGCCTTTCTTGTGGTATTTCTCAAGACCCTAAAAAGAGGCATCTGTACACATTCAAGACAGGAGACATGGGCAGAGGACAGGTGAGTGATGACGTGTGACCTACGATGTGACATGTGAAGGCAGAAGGATCGTCCCAACTACCACACATTCCTTGGTTCTTGTGCCCAGAGCATGCGCCACACACTGTATGTTTCTGTGCACAGGCGATTTCCAAATGACCAGCATTTTGCATTTACAGACGGTTCACAGGCCTTGTGCACAAGACCCAGTAACTGCCTTGGAGTTGAGGAAATGATTGTGGGAATGTTCATTAAACCTGTGTTAGATGCCTCCACAGGGCTTAGCTTTAGGGCTAGACAGCTGCCTACATCTAAATGAACTCAGACGGTGTCAATATTTGTGCCCAATTCTTCGGTCTAAGACTTGCACAATCTCACAGAACGTGTGCGGCAATGACCGCCAACCTAGTGCTACATCGTCCGTGTCATGGCTGGTACACAAAGTGCTTTAAAGAAGTGGACTGCAAGGATGAGGGACCTGCTCCAAACTGCAATGCTCTGAAGGGCAGGGAATTTAAATCTGTTGTGATTGCTGATGTTGTTCTGGTGCGAATTAAGAACCCACATATGCTCATAGCATTGAAACAAATGGGAGCTTTATTTCCAGTGCAGACAGTAGGAGATAAGGTCTCATCTGGATCAGGACCACAGTCGGGAAGAGAGAGTGAAAGTCCCCCACTCCTGCAGGATTCCCAGACCAGATTGGGTGGCCCATACCTACAATGTACAAGGCTATACAAATTGCTACAAATTGAAATTCAGTTGTGATTGTGAGGTAAGCCTAAGCTACAAACTCTGCTCACTGCCCTTGTGATACTGGTAAGCAATGGGTCAAAAATACATAAAGCATTCTCAGTCTCTCAGTATAGGAAGAACTCTGAATATTCACCAGAATAGAAAAATCCTGAGGGGTTGCCATCTTAATCTGTTCTAACAGCAATGGCAAAGAGTCCCATGCACCTTAATTTATTTTGGCACTGCCCACTTCACCGGATACCTGAAAGATTAACCTCAAATTGTCAGATGTATATAGGCATGCCAGTGGTGGGCTGGGCTGAGAAGCTGGAAACTGTGCCTGTGGAAACTGAAATGCAACAAATACAGACAGTGATAATTACCTTGACAGTTCCTATTCACAAATTACAAAATTCTGCTTTTGCCTCTGGCCTCTTGGCAGAGCAGCAGAGACACAGGCTGGGAGAGAGTGCTGAGTGGCCAGGGGACTGGCGAAGGCAAGATAGGAGCTGGGCAGCGGAGCAGAGGGCCAGGAGCAGCAGAGAGGAAGGGTGTCGTCCCTTGGCTGCGGCCCTTGGCTGCGGCCCAGGCTGTCTGGAGACTCCCTTCCCTGAGACACGGAGGTTTGTTTGTTTGTTTATTGTTTCTTGTTTGTTGTTTGTTTTTTGTTTGTTTGTGCTGTGCTGTGCTGTGCTGTGCTTTGCTTTGCTTCCAATTTAAATGTAAGTTTATTTTATCCTTGTGT